TATTCGTCAATATCTCAAGACGCTTCACATGGTAAGTTAAATGATTTCTTTATTTCATTCTAAGTAAATATTCTTGCAAAGGAGAAAGCGACTGAAGGAAAAGTAGACAAAACTTTGCCCACAGTGGGAATCAGCCCGCCCACTTGTACGAGTTAACAGGTTTTTTCTTTGCTGAGTTCTTTGCAATGATCTTTGTTATTGCACGGTTTGACAACGTGATGAGTTTTATGTCATTCTGGAAGCTACTGCTCTTGCTTAATAGATGAAGACTATTACGATTATGTGGTTAACAAGGTGAACCTGAGTGTATGTTATCAAGATAATTGGCTCAATCCCTACCGAGGCAGGAACATTTTTAGAATGGCTTGTATAGCACCAATTGGAAAAAGGTGATTGCCAGAATGGGTACTGGGGATCCCAAAGATAGGTGTTTAAATTGATAGGTGATTTTTCAATATGCTCTGGTATCTATGGTACGACTCACCTGACTTTTTTTGACTATTTTTTTCAGGAAATCAGCAGCTCCCCGCCATCGCTCCGCTCTTTTGTAGCTGAGGATGTGAAATTGGCATCGTATGTGGCTCAACACGTGGGTAATGTACATCTGGCGAATAGGCTGGATATTGAAGCTCAGCGCCTGGAGCAAAAGACTGAAGAATGACGCTGTAAATGTCAATCTGAATAATGAGGTGCTAGAGAGAAGGCACGGGTACTTGTTTATGTGCTTTTTGTGATAGGTTCGTTGTCTCTGAAATTCAAGCTCACAGAGTGGACATTTGCCGGTTTACCCCCATAGAATTACTGTTTCAACGGTGAAAGATAAGGAGTTGGCGTCGGGTGATATCCGGTTTCGTCAGCTTGGGTTATTATGATCCATGAACGAGAGATCATAAAAACTGTAGTCTGTGGTCATTTTACGGTACAGAAAGTCGAGAAATCTGACTTGCTCTCGTGACCCGAAGTTGGCATGGAAGTTTGGGGCTCAATGGGTGGTCTTGTTAGGTGGCAAGGGTAAGCGCCCAACCTTAGGCATTGAACCAATGGGGTGAGCTCTAGGCTTTGAAATCCAGCTTCATAATTGGTGACAACTGGATGTTTACCCAAGAAACTTTACCCATGCCTAAATAGATGCCATACTTCGATGGTATGGAAGCAGGCCATAGGTTCCGTTCATAAGGTACTGCCTTAAGTTCTAGGTGCCAGATTGTTGTCACTTATGAAAATTTTTGACGAATTTTCGTTTATATTTTGTGATATTCCATCTTTTTGCATGTTGTCGTACTAGAATCCAACTGGTTTTACATGGTTCTCAACCGAACGGGATTTGTTTGTTTACTCGAATTTTTGTTGTGTGAGTTTTTGTTGTGTTTTTAGATTTACAGTGAGCTTATTTGTTTGAATAAACTTATAATTGAAATTTCGCTTGAAAATGTCAAGTATTATTTGGTTGAAATAAGTATCTCTTAATAGAAGTCCAAAGACGGCGAAAAGTTGGGAGGGCACGATGTGAAGGCTGGATTGAAGTGCTTCTTTTACAAGTTAGCTTCCTTTATCTTTGTTTTCCTCACAATTTTATTTTATTGCACTTTTCAGAAGATCCTGCATAGTCTTTTTAAGGACTGTGAATTAACTACTCTAGAATGCTGGTCCATTACGTTGGCCATCCATTATGTAGTTGAAATTTAGGAAAGGACGTTCGACTAGGATGTACGAATCCGTTTTTACCTCCATAGAAACCAAATGGTCCACGTGGCACCAATACAGCATAGTTACCTAAGAAGCAGTGCCGTCGAACGATGTCCTCCACTGCCTTCGTTTCCTTTCTAGGTAAGTTTACCTTAAATTTTAACGTGTTGAGTTTTTCAGCGTCGACGATCCCCGATGAGTTTTCCAGCGTCCACAAACCCCACTTTGAAATGGGCCGCGCATCCGACTTGTTATTCGGAATCGTAGTGGCGTACTGGTTGTGTAGACCTATACAATGGATAGCGCCATTAGATGGCTAAATGTGCTAAAGCTCCCTGATGAGTTTGTCCCAATCAATTGACTTCAAAGGAATTACCCAGGAAAAGGGCTTAGCCCATCTGGGCGGGTTTCAATCTAGAACTTGATCTGTGGACCATGCGTGTGATGGTGCGCCGCTTGACAATGCACCACCCCCCTCCCCCCTATGGTACTATTCATTTGTTGTTAAATTGTTGGAATTTCAAGCTCGGGATAGCTTTCGGTTGAGATTCCGTTCCTAGGAGAACCTACTTCATCGGGATAGGCAGCAGATAGGCCCTGTGAAGGATCTGATTGATTTTTCGGGCTAGACAGCCGATGGGGCCCAAATGTATCAGAATGACTGTTTCACACACATCGCACTGTCATTCATAGCTAGTTGTCCCACAGCGTGCCGAATCTTTACTGGTTGTAGTAGTTAGTTGCCTCGTGTGGGTATGTATTATACTACAGTAAAGTCCGATAGCAAGAAGCACTTCACATTAACCCTCTTATTTTCAGTTGCCTATGCTGTCTGTTGGTCTATTGCGAAGGGACAGACGACAAAAGATGATGCTGCAAGTGCGTGGACCATTGT